CTCCTCATTTGAGTTGTACCCATCAGCAAATGGAGATTTCAAAAGCTTTACTTCAAGTCATCATGGTCAACTCTAGTTTGAGGGGGCAGCTCTTTCCCAGTCATATTTTGAGTGCCTTCCAACTAAGAGTCTCTTCAGTGGCACTGTATCTGACAGTATTCTGTGCTATTCTTACTGTTTTTGTTCTTCTGCACTATATATTGCAATATACCACTACTATACATAAGGTTTTCAATGGCTAAATATTCAGAAGTAGTCCATGTCTCCTTCTTCCTAGTCTGTCTTAGTCTGGAAGCTCTACTTGAAATGTGTCTGTCATGGGTGACTCTGCTGGTATTTAAAATACTGGTGGCATAGCTTCCAGCATCACAGCAACATGTAAGCCACCACAGTATGACACCAACAGATATTTATTGTTGTTGTTGTTAGATGCTATCCAGACAGTACCGACTTACAGTTACCCTATGTACAACAGAATGAAACACTGCCCGGTCATTGCATGGACATTGATTAGATTCTTTAAATTGTTAACTTTTCTCAACAACCTTTCCCAAACAATTTCACCATCATTAGCACAGATCACTGGCCATCTAAGCTTCTCATCTGTTTTTTAAGTTGCTGTTGTCAGTTTGATCCCACAGAGATTATTCTTTAAAAGAATATAAGTTTACTGCAGACAGGCTTCTCTAATTAGGCTAAACAATTGTTTGGTTCAAAGGTGACTTCCAGAGATAGTTTTGATTCTAGGTTTACAGATTTCATTAGGGCAGTGGGTTTTGAGGATCATCCAGCTTGAATGGTTCCAGAAAGTCTGGATTGCTTGAGAATTTGACATTCCTATTCTATTCCATTATTATCAACGGAGAAAAGATTGAAGTTGTCAAGGACTTCATTCTTCTTGGATCAACTATCAACACGCATAGAAGCAGCAGTCAAGAAATCAGTGTATTGCATTGGGCAAATCTACTGCACAAGACCTTTTTAAAATGTTGAAGAGCAAAGATGTCAGCTTGAGGACTGAGGTGCACCTGACCCAAGCCATGGTATTTTCAATAGCTTCATATTTATGCGAAAGCTGGACAGTGAATAAGGAAGACCGTAGCAGAATTGATGCTTTTGAGTTACGGTGTTGGAGGAGAATATTGAAAGTGCCATGGGCTGCCAAATGAACCATTAGATCCATTTTGGAAGAACTACAGCCAGAGTGCTCCTTGGAGGCCAAGATGGCCAAACTTTGGCTCTCATACTTCGAACATACTGTCAGGAGGGACCAGTCGCTAAAGGAGGATATCATGTTTGGTAAGGTGGAGGGTCAGAGAAAAGAGGAAGACCCCCAATGAGATGAATTGGCCAAGTGGCAGCATCGATGGACTCAAGTGTGGCAACAATTGTGAGGTTGGCCCAGGATTGGGCAGTGTTTCATTCTGCTGTGCATAAGGTTACTGTGAATTGGTACCAACTTGATGGCACCTAACGACAACAACAACAACAATTCTATTCCATATTTTGCACTTTGAAGCCGAATTTTCCTGTAGAGTCATTGATCTAAATGAACATTATTGGTAGTCAGCTACCATCCAATTCTTCTGTTGTCATGGCAAGGAGGTAGTTGTTTATGGAGACTATTGGGTACATATTCAGTCCCTATCTTAATTGTCCTCTTGACAGAATTTGACACTACCCATTCTTGGAGTTCTCTTTTCATGGAGATAACATGACGCCTTCTTGGTTTTCCTCCTGCCTATTTGGCTTCCTCTCCCAGCTGCTTTCTGTGAGCTTTTGTTGATGATTCTGTTCTTGCCCCCTACTCTCAGATTTCACATCCATTTTACTTTTAATACATTTGCTAGCTGCTCCTCAGCTTTTCTACCAGCTTATAGTTCTTCTGTGTTCCTGACCTAATTTTCTTGCTGTATCTCTACTGCATGGTTCTCTCTTGCTCTACTCCTAAGCCTCCACTCCTGCCTTCCCTCCTGTCCTCCACAAATGTCTCTGCCTCCCTCTGTCCCTCAAACCTGGTACTTGGCAGTCAACTTTGCCTCCTCCTACTCTCATGTCCCTGTCTGATCTGTTGCCAGGATAGTGAGAATCTCCTTCTCCCTCTCTTGTTCCAGCTATTTGCATGGTTGAGTTACATCTCACAAGGGCTTCTAGTCCACTACAGTCCTGCTATAGCTCCTTCTCCTTACAGCATCAGACAGAACCTCTTAACATGCTTGTTAGGTTGCTCGGTTATCCGCTACTCTTGGTATAAAGCAACTGACAAGTCCTCCCTGGCCTCAGAACTCTGCCTTACTTTACCTCTCTGTCCTCCAGTACCCTAGCATCTTCTAACTCCTCAAACTTGCCCAAATCACACATCAATGGCCAGGAACATTTTTCTTCTAGCTCTTCCTCCTTAAGGTTTAGCTTAAGCTGCACCTCCTTGAAGAGGCCTCCTAGATTATCCAACTTTCATAGTACTCTGCTCATTGTGTTCTGCTGTTTTTTCCATGGCACAGGTCACAGCTGTGGTTCTTCATCCTTGCATGCACAACTGATTAAAGCCAGTTCCTGGCCCTCCCAGTCAGGGAGTGGTCTAGTGGGTCCCCAGATTCCCAGCACCCTGGGCAGTGCCCAGGACATAGCAGATATGAGCGAGGCAGGGGAAGAAGGGAAGGGATGCTGGAAAGGCAGCTGCTTAGGTGACCAGATATATGGCTTGCCTAGCCCCTCTGCACCCCCAGTGATTTCTAAGAATGGCTCATACTCTGTGATGTCCTTTTCCTGTGAGTCTCTCTCAGTTGCCTCTGCCCAAGCCATACCAGATGGAGGGTAGATTGTGAATAACCTGGAGTGCCTTTGTTGGACATTCAGTCCTTGGGCTGGCTCCTGCCACTTTTGTGAGGGATGGGCAGTGATTTGGAGACAGGGTTGGGCAAGGCCATCCATCTGCATATCTACAAGACTCATACTGGCCTCCCTCCTGGCTTTGATACCGCTTGTTATTGTTAAGTGCTGTTGAGTTGGTCCCGACTCATAGCGACCCTGTCTGTATAGGGTTTCTGAGGAACAGCTGGTGGGTTTGAACTGCTGACTTTGTGGTTCACAGTCCAGTGCTGATTCTACAGCACCACCTCAGGAGTCTACCTGGGCTTTGCTATGTTGTTGTTGTTGTTAAGTGCCATCGAGTCGGTTCCGACCCATAGCGACCCTGTACAGGGTTTCCGAGGATGTTAATCCTTACGGGAGTAGAAAGCCTCATCTTTCTCCCGTGGAGCGGCTGGTAGTTTCGAACTGCTGACCTTAAGGTTCGCAGCCCGATTCGTAACCACTACGCTAAGTGGCCTATAATTGGTGATCTTGCAGCTTTCCCTGCAGGGTCACCTTCCTTCTGTAGCAGTTCCCATGTGGTTGCCAGTCAGGACCCTGTGAGCCTTGCTGTCCACATAGAAGAAAGCCCTGCTGCCTGGACCTTTGTGAATCCCAGGAGGGTATATGAGGGGCTTCTCAGGCTTTCTAGTCATGGCCTCTCCATTAGTTCCCTGACTGGTGCCAGTTTACAGAGCCATGACCCTTTGAATGAAGGGGAGACTGGGTCCCCCTGTGGAAGGACTCCAGTACACTGCCGGAAATTTATACTGCTAGTCTTTCCCCGAGACTTGCCCAAAGGGATTTATGGCCTTTTCCAAGAATTAGTGTTCATTGGGGAAAAAGAAATAATCACACTTTCCAGGGATTATTGGACACTGGCTCTGAATTGACACTAACTCTAAGTGACCCACAATGTCCCTGTGGCCCACCAGTCAGTGTGGGGGCATTAGGAGGACAAGTTGTTAATGGAGTCTTAGCTAAGGTCTGGCTCACTGGAGTCCAGTGGGTCCTTGAACTCATCCCAGAGAAAAATGCTCTGCAGCCCATTCGCTTGTGTAACTTCAGAGTGCCGAGTCCATTTGGTGAGTTCTTTCTAAAAAGGGCACACTGATCTTAGTGGACTTCAAAGGAATATTGTCGTACCTGCTAGGTGCTCACTTCCTAGACACAGTATGGATGTAGAGTGGCTCTGAGCTGGTTCACTAAATATGGGCTGGAAGAGGAAACAGAGTGGGGAGAGATCTCTCTCTGTCTCCCCGCCTCTCTCAGTCTCCCTGGCCTCTTTCTGTCTCCCCCTGTCTTTCTTTTCATCTCTCTGTTCCCCATCTCTCTCCCTTTGTCTGTCTCCCCCATCCCTGCTTCCCTTCTCTCTCTACCTCTCTTGTCTCTTTCCCCCTGTCTGTCTGTCCTGTCTCCCCCATTTCTTTGTCTCCCCTGTCTCTCTTCCTGTGTCTTTCATTCTCCCTGTCTTTCTCCTTGCCTCTCTGTATCCCCCATTTCTCTCCCTTGTCTTTCTCTCTTGTTTTTCTCCTTGTGTCTCTCTGCCTCTCTCCCCTCTGCCTCTCTGTCTCCCCTGTCTCTCTGCCTCCCTGTGTCTTTCCCCCGTCTCTGTCTCCCCATCTCTCCCCTTGCCTCTCTCTCTCTCCATCTCTGCCCCCTTCTGTCTTCCCCTGTATCTCTGTCTCCTTCATCTCTCCCCTTGTCTTTCTCCCCCTCTCTGTCTCCTCTGTTTCTCTCTCCCTATCTTTCTGTCTCCACTGTCTCTCTGTCCCTGTCTCTCTCTGTCCCATTTCTCTCCCCACCTCTCTCTACCTCCCCATGTTTGTCTTTTGCAATCTCTGTGCTATGCAGAGATCCAACTCACTGTACGCCATGACCAGTGTGTCTAGACCCCTTCCCTCTCCTGACTGTGGAGCCTTAAGGTCAAGGCCAGGTCTACTCTGTAGCACCCATGTCCCAGCCTACTGAGTGATGGTCTTCTGTAGGCCTCAGGTCACCCAGCCTGTGGTCAGGAGTGTAGACTCTGGTGTCTCCTGCACCCAGTCTGGCCCTGATTACACTTCTCCCCCTGTGATAGTGACAAGTGTGCATAGTTGTGGTGTGTGAGCTAGCCTTGACCATGACTCTAACGTGTGCTTCCCCTGCAGCGCGGAGGACGTGGTGGTTCGAGTGCCGGGCAATCAGCTCACACTGGGCTACATGGAGGAGCACGGCTTCACTGAGCCCATCCTTGTTCCCAAGAAGGATGGGCTGGGTCTGGCCGTGCCAGCCCCCACCTTCTACGTCAGCGACGTCGAGAATTATGTGGGTAAGTGTCCTTTCTGGCCTTGTGGATGACATTCAGACCTTCTGCCTGTGCTCCCCAAGGTGGACCAGGTTATGGTATGGGCTCCCAAGGCTCACGTTTGTTTGGGGTTAGAAGCAGGGGTAGTGTGTTTTTTAAAGGCTTGTGGTCTGTGAAGAAGCTCAGCATATTAGACTGTGCATTCCATGGGTGGCCCTGGTGAGCCGTCCCCTGCAGATGGTTTGGCTGCAAAGTGGAGGGCGGGTCTTGGACTCCCTTGATTCTTCCAGCAATAGAATCCACCATAGTTAGGCCTATATAACTCTTGTCTACCATGAAGGCATAGAGATGTGGGGCGCCTCCTCTGGCATTAGTGCAGGCCCCTCTCCTGCTCCCACTTTGAGACCTGGCTCTCCTCATCTGAGCAAGACCTGCCTTCAGTGTCAGGTTCCTTTTTCTGAAGCACCCTATTTCCTGGTCATTTGGGGGCAGTGTCCACCTATGCCTCCTGCTGATTCTGGCTCCTAGGTTCTGCGTGAGTTGGCCTGGGACATTTCTGGACAAAGGAAGGGGCTCATGTGTGCCAGGCACCACTGTACAAGGGGACACCAGGACTGACTGGTGGGCAGCTTGCCTAGCTCAAAGCTCTCATTGGTGCTGCATCTAAAGATATTGATGAGAGAGGCCTGCAAGGCCATGAAGGGGAAGAAAATCCAGAAAAAATGATGCTTGAGCTAATTCCCAGGCTGCTTTTTGGAAGGGAGAGATTGGACTCCAGACTTCTGCAGAACTTGAAGTCTTTGTTACCTAGTGCTGTTTCAATAGAAATTCTTATAGTTCAGGGGGCAGCTCTAGGTGGTGGTACTTCCTTGTCTATTTCAGTTTCTGGTTCAGGAAGTCCTCGATTTATCATGAGTTTTCTTTCCAATGACTCCATCATAAGTTGGTTTTGATGTAAGTTGACTAACTTTTTTTGTTGTTGTTTAGTTTTCATTATTAGTGACTTTTACTATCAGTGCCTTTATAAATCTGATTTTGAACAGCTGAGAATGATAACATCAGCAAATTCGTGCTGCCTCATTGTATATAGTGCATATTACTGACAGGAGGATGCAGTTTGGAACTTGAGTATATTGTAGTCAGGGACTACTTGTATCCACCAGCAGTCCTTGTAGATACATCTGTCCCCATCATGGGTCTCCATCTTTTCCCTGTTTGTGTCTCCGTGTCTGTTCTTTTTTTTATGACTCAGAAGTGATTAGGTTTACGATTTAACCTTATTGATGTAATGAAGAAAACCCTATCTCTAAACAGGATTGTATTTGCCAGGATAGCTCATACAGCTACAAGTGGCAGTACCAGCTGTGGCCTGCCCAGAGCTGTTCCTATCAGAGTACTGAACTCGATTTCTCCCAACAGGAAGAGATGGCTCCAGGCTTTTAATATTCTAGCTTATTGTTACTTTTAATTCTATATGGATCCCCCCTTTTTTAAAAGAATAATTGTACAGAATTATTCTTTACAGAATATTGTACAGAAAGTACAGGGAACTCCTATATACCTTCCCTCCCCACCCAAGTTTTCCTTTCTTATTATGGGTTTGACAAATTCACAAATGCCATATGTCCACCATTATATTATTACGTATAATAATTTCAATGACCTAAAAATGCCCTGTGAGATTTTTAAAAAAACATATTTTTCATTTCCCATATGCTAAAAATGTGAGGCACCAACCATTTCTCCCTTATCCCTTTTATCCCTTTCTATTCCACTGGCTTCAGTAATGCATTGCAATGACCACACAAGACTCTGGCATCGTACTCATAGTTTATTAGGGAAGTTAACAGGTAATAAATAATACAGGCTCAGAAAATCCTCAGTTGTTCCAGTCAGCTGTTGATAATGCCCACAGGATACAAGCCTCAGCCTGAAGGTGCTCAGTTCTAGCTCTGTGGGTCAGCAAACCTAGCTTCTCCACTTAAGTGGTTGGAGCCACCCTACTTGATAACGAGTTTCAAGTCCAGAGTCACTCAGCTTTACTTGCTCTAGGGCTGGGAAGCCCACTGCTCTGTCTCGTGCTGTGGTTATTGGTTCTGCTGCTGTTGCTCCTCTGCCACTCTTCCAGGGTCACAGCTTTCTGTCCCTGGGTCCAGGAGGTTCAGTGTGCAGGGATCTGGAGGACCAAATGATGTGTTCCACTCCTGGGTCTTTCTTCTTGATGGTAGTGAGATCACACCTCCTGCTTCTGAGATGGTTCATTTTATATCCATGCTAAAGTTTCAATTTTTCACAATTACATTGAACTCTGTTAACATCCTCAGCTGAATCATGTCCGTCTACCTATCAGTTTCTTTGCCCACCTTCTCTTACCCAGACCTAGCAGGGCAGAAATGTTGTTGGTGGGAGTTACAGACTATGGCTAGAAGGGACATTAGATAATTCACTAAGCACACCTTACTGTTTTTAATAATGGGAAATGTTCACATACACAAACAAAAGAGCATCATGAACAGTGACCTATGTACTCCACCATGACCTAAACAACCTTCAGCTCTCTGTTGTTTTCTGTCTTATTCCCCTAAAGTTGTTGTGTTGTTAGATTGCCATTGAATCTGTTCCTACCTTTAGTAACGTTATGCACAGCATAAGGAAACACTGCCTAATCCTGTGCCATCCTTACAACCCTTGTTACACTTGAGCCCATTACTGATGCCACTGTGCCAACCCATTTTGTTGGGGTCTTGCTCTTTTTTGCTGACCCTCCACTTTACCAAACATGCTATAACAGACAATATGCCCAAAGTATGAGAGACAAAGTTTCACCACCAGGTCCTCTAAGGGGTTTACTTCTTCCAACACAGATTTGTTTTTCTGGCAGTCCATGATACTTTTAATATTTTTCTCCAACACTGTAACTCAAATAATCTACTCTTCTACAGTCTTATTCATTGTTCAACTTTCACATACATATAAGGCTATTGAAAATACCATGGCTTGGGTCAGGCACACCTTAGTCTTCAAACTGATATCTTTGCTCTTGAGCACTTTAACAAGATCTTGTGCAGCAGATGTGTCCAATGCAATAGTTTGATTTTCTGACTACTGCTTCCATGTTGTTAGTGTTGATGATAGTGGATCTAAGCAAAAGGAAGTCTTTGACAACTTCAATCTTTTTTCCATTTATCATGATGCTATTTAATGATCCAGTGTTGACTATTTTTTGTTTATTTACATTGAGGTGCTGAAGGTTGTGGTCTTTAATCTTCATCAATAAGTATTTTAAATCCTCTCTGCTATCAGCAAGCAAGGTTGTATTATATGTATATCATAGATTGTTAATTAGTCTTACTCCAATCCTGATACTATGTTATTCTAATATAATCCAGTTTATTGGATTATTTGCACAGCTCTTTTACATCTTCATTTCTTCTATTTGCTTTTGCATCTTATACTGGAGAGCAAGTTTCAGAGTCTCTCCTGGCATCAGTTTTGGGATTTTCTCTCTTTCTTGCCTTATTAATGACCTTTTGCTTTCTTCCTGTTTGATGTGCTTGATGTCATCCAAAAACTCTTCTGGTCTTTGATAATTAATGTCTTATGCATCAAATCTGTTCTTGAGATGATCTCTAAATTTAGGATACTGATTGAATAAGTATGATGAGAGAATATAGCCCTTGTGCACATCTTCCTGGTTTTAAACCATTCAGTGTCTTACTATTCTGTTTGAAGTACTATCTCTCAGTCTGTGTACAGGTTCCTCATGAGTACAATTAAGTGTTGTTGAATGCTCATTCTCTGAAATATTTTCCATAGTTTGTCATGGTCTACACAGTTGAAAGCCTTTGCATAGTCAATAAAACACAGATAAACATCTTTCTGGTATTCTCTGCTTTCAGCCAAGATCCATCTGATATCAGCAATGATATCCCTTGTTCTAAGTCCTCGTCTGAATCCAGTTTGAACCTCTAGCAGTCAATGTGTTACTGCATCAGTTTTTTATTTATCTTTGGAAAAATTTTAATTATATATAATATTAATGATATTGTCAAATGATTTTCACATTCTTTTTTGTACCTCTCTTTGGAATGGGCACAAATATGGATCTCTCCCAATCTGTTGGCCAGGTAGTTGTCTTCGAATTTCTTCAGTGCATCTTGGACTTCTTCCTTTAGTTGTTGTTTTGTTGTTAAAGTGCTGTTGAGTTGGTACCTGCTTAGAGCTACCCTGTATAGGGTTTCTGAGGAGTGGCTGGTGAGCTTGAATCACTGACCTTGTGGTTCAAACTGACTTTGCAGTCCAGCACATTAACCTGCAGTGCCATACAAGGACCCTGGACCCTTCTTCAGGACCATTGGTTATTGATTATATGCCACTTCTTGAAATAATTGAACATTGACCATCTGTATTATGAGCATTCATTCTATCTTTTTTGATGCTTTCTGCATCATTCAATATTTTGCCCAAAGAATCCATCAGTATTTCAAATCAAAGCTTGAATTTTTTTCTTCAATTCTTTCAACTTGAAAAATGATGAGTATGTTCTTCCTTTTTGGTTTTCTAACTCCAGGTCTTTGCACATTTCATTATAATACATGACTTTGTCTTTTCTAGCTGCCATTTGAAATTTTATGTTCAGCTCCTTTTGCTTCCTCATTTCTTCCATTGGTTGTAGCATCTCTATGCGAGAGAGCAAGTTTCAGTCTTCTGACATCAGTTTTGGGCTTTTCCTTCTTTCTTGTCTTCTTAATGACCTTTCCTTTTCTTCCTGTATGATGTACTTGATGTTGACAATCCCACAACTCAGAAATTCTGATCTTTGGTCATTAGTGTCTAATGCATCAAATCTGCTGTTGAGATGATCTCTAAATTCAGGTGAGATATGTTCAAGGTCATATTTTGGCTCTTGTGGACTTATTTAATTTTCTTAATCTTCAGCCTGAACTTGCATGTGAGCAATTGATGGTCTATTTCACAGTCTGCCCCTGGTCTTGTTTTGGCTGGTGATACTGAGCTTTTCCACTGTCTCTTTCCATGGATGTAGTCAGTTTTATTTCTGTGTGATGCAGTCCATATTGTGTAGTCATATTTTGTGTAGTTTAAAAAGGTATTTGCAATGAGTAAGTCATTGTTCTTGTAAAATTCTATCATGCAATTTTCAGAATCATTTCTGTCATCAAGGCCATATTTTCCAACTACTGATCTGTCTGTCCTCTTTGTTTCCAGCCTTTGCATTCTAGTAATTAGCAATACATCTTGATTGCATGTTTGATCAATTTCAGACTGAAGAAATTGGTAGAATTCTTCAATTTCATCATCACTGGTTTTAGTGGTTGGTGTGTAAATTTAAAAATAGTGGTATTAACTGGTCTCCCTTGCAGGTGTATGGACATTATCCCATCACAATTGGCATTATACTTCAAGATAGATCTTGAAATGTTCTTTTTGATGACGAATATGACATCATTCCTCCTTAATTTCCTATCCTGTCTTAGTAAACCATTTGATTGTCAAATTCAAAGTGTCTAATACCAGTCCTTTTCAGCTCACTAATGCCTAGGATATTGATCTTTAGGCATTTCATTCCATTTTGGACAACTTGTAATTTTCCTAGATGCATACTTCATACATTCAATGTTCTTAGTATTAATGGGTGTTTCCAGCTGTTTCTCCTCATTTTGAGTTGTACCCCATCAACAAATGAAGGTCCTGGAAGCTTTATGCCATTCCTGTCATGACGATTAACTGTACTTTGAGGAATCATATTTTGAATGCTTTCCAACCTGAGGAGCTCATTTTCTACCGCCATATCTGACAGTATTCTGATGTTATTCATAGTGTTTCAGTAGCTAATATTCTGGTGCCATCTGATAGTGTTCCACTACTCGTCCAAGGTTTTCAATGGCCAAATGTTCAAATGTAGTCCACCTCTCCTTCTTTTTAGTCTGTCTTAGTCTGGAAGCTCAGCTGAAACCTGCCCACCATGGGTTACCCTGCTGGTATTTTAAATACCAGTGGCATAGCTTCCAGCATTGCAGCAACATACAAGCCATCACAGTAGGACAAACTGACAGATGAGTGGTAGATTCCCTGAAGTAGGTTAGAGTAAATTTCTGGTTCACACATCAGCTCACCCCTAAAATCTCCAGTATGTTTATCCAGTAGATGGTTTTCAGAAAACATACAACTCTATTGTCACACTCTATAACATTAATGGCAATTCCTTAGTCTTATCTAAGACTCAGTTTAGTTCTCTCCAATGGCCTCAAAAACACGTTTTTTATATTTATTTGTTTGAATCAGGATGCAAGTAAGACCCACATATTACATTTAATTTTTATGTCTCTTCAATCTGATTTATTCCATAACAGTCTTCCCACCTCTACTTTTTCATTCCATGTATTTGTTAGAGAAGCAAAGTTTGGAGGCCTGTAGAATTCCCCCATTTTTGATTTAGTGACAGTCTCCCTGTCATTTAACATACTTTTCTGTTCCTGTAGCCAGGGTTAGAGGTTGGGTCCTATTCATGGTGTACCTTGGTTGGTATGCTACCTTCCTTCTAGGGCATATATCTTCTGGCCTTCTATCAGTAGATTGATCAGAGGGCCCTGCTGGCCCAACCTCACCCATAAACAGAATATTCTTCACCAGCCTTACCTCTAATGGTCTGACCAGCCACTTCCTTTATTAACTATGGTTCTTCTAATAAGAACTTCCATAAGCATTTATTTGGTTATTCTGAGCTTTCTGGGCATACTTAAACTAAATAATAATAATTGTTTTTCTGAAATTCACATTTAAATGGGAGTCTTATATTTTTATCTGTGAATCTGGTCACCCTCCCTGAGGGCCCTGTGACTCAGTCTCCTCACTGCACTGTGTCCCAGGTTCTCAGGATCATCCAAGAAAGGAAAGTGTAGACATCTTACTAAACCATGGAAGCATTAGTGGATAGAGGATCAAAATAGAAGTCAGACCCTCTAAGCCCAGGCCATTTCTTTGGCAGTGTGTCCTTGTGTGAGGCAGCTGAGAGGGTGAGTGTGTAAGTGCTTGAATGCATGAGTGATGTGTGCATGTACACACGTGTGGGTGTGTGACAGCGAGTATGTGAGTGCATGGATGTGTGTGAGCATGTAAGGGTGTGAGGACACAAGTATGTGTGTGCGTGCGTGCGTATGTGTGTGAGGTTTGAGTATATGGGAGTGGGCACATGTATTTGTCCTTCCACTGGCAGGGGCCTGGCCTCGTGGGGGGATCTGGTGCTTCTCTCTAGTGGAGGCTGACCTCTTCTTGCCTGGCCTCTCCAGGCCCAGAGAGGAGCGTGGATGTGACAGACGTCACCAAGCAGAAGGACTGTAAGATGAAGCTGAAGGAGTTTGTGGACTACTATTACAGCACCAACCGGAAGCGGGTCCTCAATGTCACCAACCTTGAGTTCTCTGATACCAGGTGAGCAGCTGGGGGGCAGGGGAAGTAGGGAGAGGGCCTGACTCTGTACCCCACCCCACAGCCTTGTGGCTGGACCTGGGCTGTTGCCAGAGGAGGCCTGCTGGGCCCAGCACAACACCCGGACTATGCAGGCACTTAGCTGTACGGCTAGCAAACCTGACTTGCATCTGCTGCTGGCTCAGCTTATTCCAAACCCCTGTCTTATACCCTTACTCCCAGTTGAAGGAGGCCTAGGGGCCTGCCCTCTGCTCACATGGGTGGGTTCCCATATGTTACGACCAAGTGAGGGTGCTAGTGGTGGTGGTGGTGGTGGTGTGCCGTGGAGTTGGTTTTGGCTCAAATTGGCCCTGTGTAGCATTTCCAAGGCTATAAATCTTTATAGGAGCAGAAAGCCTCATCTTTCTCCTGTGGAATGGCTGGTAGTTACAAACTGCTGACCTTGAGATTAGCAGCCTGACTCGTAACCACTAAGCTACCAGAGTTCCAAGTGAGGGGGCTGGGGTTTATGTAGATTTCAGATGGGAGCCCTTCTCTGGGCACTGGGGGATGACCAACGTCTCAGAGGCATTCACTGTGGGGGTTCCCAGCGCCTCAGAGGCATTCACTGTTGGGGAGCAGCCTGGGTTTGGCCTCTTGGAACTGTATATGTGGTTGAAGTTGGTGGCCTAGCTCCAGGCTGGTCAGAACAGAGGATGATGCTCTTTTGTGGGTGGTGGTGCACCCACTGTGCCCTTGGAGGTCCCAGGATACATTAGAGGAGGTCTCAGAGAGAAGGCCTAGAGCAAAGACATGAGGTCTCCTGTGAAGAAAGCGAGGGGATCCGTGAGTTGTGGCCTGGAGCCATGAGGTTGCCAGAACCTGGCTCTGGACTGGGCCCCTCTTGTCCAAGTAGAATTGGCAGCAGGTTCTTATGGGAGAGCTGATGTTCCAGTTCTCCATCTGCCTGTGACCTGTTTTTGGAATATGAAGTGGTCACCACAGAGGTCTCTAGGCTTGCAGTGTGGGCTCAGTATTTTGCATGTTTCACGGACTATGCATTGTAAGTGGATCAAAGACTGCTTTTGCCCTTTTCATCTTCCATGGATGTGATGGTGTGTGGTGGATTTCTTGCTGTGACTCTGGAGAGCAGGGGAACCCTAGGAAGTGTGTGTGGTGCAGGAGAGAGATGATCTTCCTGCCTCTTCATGCCTGGCCTCCCCGGGCCCAGAGCGGAGCATGGATGTGACAGATACCACAAAGCAGAAGGACTGTAAGATGATGCTGGATGCATTGGCCGGCTGGCACCTTTGCTGTCTCATTCTCTAAGGAAGGCTTCTTTGCTCTGGGAGGAGCCAGGGGTCAGGTGGCTTCTCCTTGCCCTTTTCTGTGCATGGAGACCAGTATTGGACACCTGCTACCACCACCAATGTGCCTGACTCATTCCTGTCTTGAACTTCAGTTTGTCCTTAGGTAAACCTTCTCCTAGTTGTGAAGTAATTTATAGGAGGACCTTGCAGAGTGCCTCCCACCCCACCTGTTCACATAGTAATGACAACATGGACCACATTGACCCTGTTCCTCTCCCGTCTACCAGAATGTCCAGCTTTGTGGAGCCACCTGACATTGTGAAAAAACTGTCTTGGGTTGAGAACTACTGGCCAGATGATGCTTTGCTGGCTAAACCCAAAGTGACCAAGTACTGCCTCATCTGTGTGAAGGACAGCTACACTGACTTCCACATAGACTCTGGAGGTGCCTCTGCCTGGTACCACGTGCTCAAGGTGAGTACCTGCTGCACACCCTCCCCTACCCACAGTGCCAAGCCAAACTAGCCCACAGCTGGTTTCAGATTGCCTGGAGTTCCCTCTACCACAGCTGTGTGCAATAGTACGTGGGCCCTAAGCTCAGGGCTGGGCAGTGGTGGCCTTTCATGGTGGAGGTGCAGTGTCTCCCTGACTAGGGGTGTGCACATCATGTCCCCATGAAGTAATGTGGTAGAAGTCCCCAGAAGTCATGACCAAGTGCCCAGATCTGCCCATGTGACTGGTGCCCAGAATGGGAGAGAGGTGTTGTGAAGAGACTTCTCAAAGGAGAGGTCTGGGGACCTCCACATGGGCCGTGATTCCAGCTTAGTCTGAGACTCCAGCAGTCTGAAGAACGCAGTTCTACTTGTAGCCCACTCAATAGTGTGTGTGCAGACATGGTGTGCTCCAGACCTTGCTGGGGGCATAGCCACATAGGAGCCTTACTAATATCCAAACTTCTGAATTGCAAAGCACATGTGGCCCCATGGTTTTATGTAAAATGTAAGGTCAGGGCTGTGACCAGTTTATAAAATAGCATCATTCCCTAGACATTTTCTCCGCAGTCCCCAGGGTATAGCGTGTCTTGCACCCCCAGCACTCTCATGGCGTGGCAGACTTTGTACCTCCAGGATTCCCAGGGCATGGTGGGTGCTGTACATGGGTACTGTAGCACTAGGATCCCTAGGGCACAGTGGACTTTATACCTCAAGGTTCCTGGGATGTGGTATAGGCTCTTAGGATGTGACTAGCATGGCTTCTCTCTCCTTACAGGGGGAGAAGATATTCTATCTCATCAAGCCAGCCTTGGCCAATCTCTCCTTGTATGAGCGCTGGCAATCAGCCTCCAACCACAGTGAGATGTTTTTTGCGGACCAGGTGGACAAATGCTACAAGTGTACCCTCAAACAGGGACAGACACTCTTCATCCCATCAGGTGGGACGATGGACCCTTCCCAATGAACCTCAGCTACTCATCTCTGGTTTTTCTGTCTTTCCATGCCACGTGCTCTTCATAGGCCTGAGCCAGACCTCCTCATGTCCATATCCTGCGAGCTGACTCCCTCTTTGCGAATGACAGCTGGCTGGCCTGTCTGATCCCTGGCTTGCTTGAGCCCTTGCAGGAACTCGCTGCTGAGTTCACTATGGCCGGATTTGGCAGAGGGGGCCAGTCCAAGGGACCTACCTGGAAAAGCTGCCCTGCTTTTCCATAACATAGGCACACCTCTATTGTTCACCTACCACTCCAAGCAGGTGGTAAGCTGTGAGGGTAGTTGCCCAGAGGCAAGGGAGGAAAGCAAGTGCTCACTGTTAGGAATGTTCATTCAAGGACTTTTCAGACATCCACAGAGGGAGAAGGCATGACAAAGTGTGGTAGAAACCGCCCACTTCCCTACCTTCCACAGCTCCCAGATGATGTTGTGGTGAATGTGACATTGTATTATTTCATCTGTAAAGACTTTACTGCCTGTTTTCAAAAGCCTTCTCATTTGAAGTACTGTAGTGTCATCTTCCTTTTAAGGGGGACAGAAACAGCAGTTCCCTCAAATTTTCTCCCAGTTGTGTCTGTGGGTTGTTTTTGTTTTTTTCCCATTTTAAATCAAGGTCTATATGAGGCATGCTGAGTCCTCCATAGTCTGTAGGTCCCCTCCCTTCCTCCCTTTGGTTTTCTCATAATCACAGTTTATTCCTTGAAGAGCTGAAGGGTCCCAGGCCTGAGCTTCTCCTACAGCTGCAGCTATCCCTGCCTTATCCTTCTCCCCAACCCTGCTTCAGGAGGTTAGGGGGATTGGGGGGCAGGAGTAACGACTCCCCAGGCCTTGGTTTCCTTGTGTAGGCTCTGCAGAGGCTGGATTGAGCTGTCTGTGACTGCACCTGATGGCCTCTCCTGCCTGGACCTCACTACTTTCTTTGTAGGGAGAGCAGGGTGGGGTCTGGAGCTGCTGGGCAGGATATAGCAGCGTTTTTATCTCTCCTAGGCTGGATCTACGCCACCCTTACACCTGTGGACTGCTTGGCCTTTGCGGGACACTTCCTCCACAGCCTAAGCGTGGAGACGCAGATGAGGTAGTGCCGCCAGTGCCACGCCTGCTTCCTGGGCTCTGCTGGGCAGGTCTCCCCCCTGGGTCAGTGTGATGGGCACCTGCACCCGAGTCCTGCCCTGCCTCACGTGGGTGGCCTTGGGTATGGCCCACTGGTTGGAGGCCTCTGTGAACCTGGGGAAAGGAGGAGCTAGACTTCCTTGACTTCAGGAGGCCCACTGCCATCTGGAGGGCCTGACTTTGGGATGGTCCAGGTGGCCCTCAGGAGATTTGGGGGAAGTAGAAAGGCTGCTGCGTCCCTCTTTTTCCAGACATGGACCTTTCTCTCTAGTAAAGGCAGACCTGAAGTCCTCACCTAAGTGGCTTTCTCCATAGGACTGTGGTCTCCTCTGCCACATAGGGGCCTTTAGGGAGTAAGGGTGGGGGTCTAGAACCTAGATGGGCCTATCAAGAATAGGGGGTGGGAGGGGAGAGGCTTGGGACCTGGAGCCTGGGTGGGCCTATCGGGACTGGGGAGTCAGGGGAAGCTTTGGACTTGGGCCTGGGTGGGCCTGTCAGGAGTAGTAGGTAGGGTAGGCATGGGACCTGGGTTGGCCTTTTGGGAGTGGAGGGGGTTGGCGCATGGGACTGAGTGGTCCTGTCAGGAATCGGGGATGGGGGAGGCTTGGGACCTGGGAAGGCCAAATCTCTGACCCTGCCAGGCTGGTTCTCATTGCACTCAAGTGTCTCTTTCTGTGACTTGTAGAGCATATGAAGTGGAAAGAAGGTTGAAACTTGGCAGTCTGACTCAGTTTCCGAACTTCGAAACTGCCTGCTGGTACATGGGAAAACATCTGCTTGAGGCTTTCAAAGGTAGTAGTCAGCTATGTGTGTTCCCATTGTGGGGAGAGTTATGATTCTGCCTTCCATAACAGGGCTACCCAGGAGCTGGGGTGGGACTTCATTCTCTTGTGCAGTTCTGTTCTCCGCTCTGGGCCTTGGTTTCCCCGTTCATGCCTGGCAAGCATTGGTTTGCAGTTTGTGCCAACTCTGAGTGAATTCATCTGTCTAGATTGACTGGGATTTTAGAAAAGGGCTGGGCTGAGTGTCAAGAGGCCCAAGAATCCATCCTGCCCTGGCCCTGAGGCCTTGGTACAGTCAGTACTAATGTCCCCTTTGAGCTCAGAACAAGAAGCATCACATAGTCACGCTCAGGTTAAGATCTGGAATTGGTCTTGGCTCTGTGACACTAGCCAGATCACTGTCTTAATGACCCCTCAGTTGAGTGTGTGTGTGCGTGCACTTGTGTGACGTGTGTGCCTGTGGTGTGCGTGCACACATGCTGTGCTCATGTGAGTGTACACACATGCATACACGCCCCCCCACACGTGTGTGTCTTGTGTGTGCACATGTGTATTGTGTGCCTGTGATGGACACATGCTGTGCTCGTGTGTGTGCATGTGTATATGTGCACACATACTTGCATGCTGATATGTACATTCACATGTATTTGTGTGGCATGCTCATACATGCACACACATACACATGTGCATATGTAATGTGTGCCGGTGATGTGTACACACATTTATATATGTGCCTTGTTTTGTGCATACACACATGCATGTGCATGTTGTGCTCATCTGAGTGCATGTGTACATGGGCCCACACGTAACTGTACATACATACACATGTGCCTGTGGTTCATGTGTGCATACATGTGTTGGTATGTTGTGTGTACTTTGTGCATGTATGTTCATGTGCCCAGGTTCCCCTTAGTGAGGCTCCAAGGGGAGGAAGGGGTGTGGAATTGTGAGGTGTACTCATGGCCCTTCCCTGCTCTCCCTGGCCATCCTCTTCCCAGCCTCTTGGCAATCAGATGCATTGGGCTTCTGCTGCTGACACCCCCTGCTTGGGTTTTCACACTTTCCACAGCAGCATCAGGGAAACCAGTCAGAGGATTTTTGCTTTCATTATAGTTTCTTTTTTAGTAGTGGACTTTTATTTTCCTGCTAAGAGCCAGAAAGAGAGGTTTTTTTTTTTAAAAATAAGGAATCCTTTGCAGTTTGACTTTCATTTGAGATGAGAAAACTAAAAGCATTCCTTCTTTTCTTCAGGCCAGGTTTCCATTAATTCATCACATCTACCCAAAATTAGAAACCCTAGGCTGGACTCTAGTGCAAGGGGCCTGTGTGGAGTGGGGACAGTGCTTATTGTACAGCCAGCTTCCTGGGTCCCAGCCCACTGGAGCTGCTGACCAGTTGGGTGACTGCAGGTCACTTGTCCGGTCTTTCTGCACTTTGGGTACCCTCTGCAGCAGTGTGACAGCAGCAGCTGCCCTCAAGTCTGAGAGGATTGGTACAGAAGATGGGGTGATGGTGGGTGGGGTTAGCACAGAGCTGCTGGCACTGGCTCTGAGCTTCTGTCCTGGACAAGCTTGACTTCCTCGGCATGGGGAGGGGCTCTCAGACTTGTCTCTAAGCTGTTTTCAGGGTGGAACAAGATGTGCCGACAGAGTGTGGGCCTCAAACCAGGGTCTGTGAATGACTGAGAGGTGGCATGCCCTGCAGGAATCCTCCGCCTAAGGTAGTAGGGCAGGTGGAGAGGGTAGTACTATGGAAGGAGGCCTCAGGCCTCGTGGCCAAGCTGTTGATAGGACAATGAAGGAGGAGGGTAGGGGGCCACTCCAGCCATCCAGGACAGGACCCTCCCAGGTTCCAAGAGGAACCGTTGGCAGTTGGGCTGGTCTCATGGGTGGAGACTCTGGTGGCTGCTGCTGCTGCCACCTGGGGCTTTGATGGCTACTGGGCTGGGTGTGAAGTATTCTCAGACAGCAGGTATCGGGAAGGAAGGTGGCCGGTTTCCCCTAAGCTACTCCTTTTTCTCTTTCCCCAGGTTCTCACAAATCTGGGAAGCAGCTGCCACCTCATTTAGTCCAGGGAGCTAAAATTCTCAATGGTGCTTTCAGATCATGGACTAAGAAACAGGTAGGGACGATATCTGACTCCAGGGCAGAAAAGTGAGGAGGAAGGAATTTCCAATGTATGGGAAATGTCATGTTTAGTGTTGGCAATGCTGCCATGCATGGCTGGCAGAGGGCCCCTTTGCCCAGGTGAGACACCCATCTCCCTTTTCAATCAGGGTGGGCTTCCTTCCTGGTTAAGTGCCACACCTGGTACTCAGATTGGGAGACCCTCCCTCCCCATGTAAGGAAACACCCTGGTGCCCTTCTGGGATGGTGGGCAGCTCTTCCTCCCCATGGCCTTCGTGCCTGTAGCCATCATTTCCTTTCAGTCCCAAATCCTGGAGCAGCATAGTGTGCCATCCTGTCCCATCTCGGCCCCATGGCCAGGTGGAACCAAGCTGGTGCTTAGGGAGAAGGGGTGGGTCTCCTGCCCTGCAGCCTCCTGGGGGAGCCCTCTGCTCCTGGAACTCAGTTTCCCCACTTGTGGAGTGGAAGCCACACCAGTGCTTTCTCCTCGGGACAGTGTCTGGTGGAGTGGGCCATTTCCTGGGTGGTAGTCCTGCTACCTGTGAGGGCACAGAGGCAGTCTAGCCCCTGCTCACACTTGGGGTAATGATACTTTACAAGGAGGAGATGGGAGGGTCTTGGCAGTCTGGACCAGGGTCACTGTGCCAAGACCTCCATCAGCCCAGCAAGGCCTGACTCGCTGCTGAGGGTCCGAAAGTATACATCCCGGGCCCTGTCATGAAGCTGGAATGCTGCTGCCCAGTTACCAGCTGTGTGACCTTGGGCTAGTTACTGAAACTCTGTCTTTTCTTGCCTGTCAAGGCCCAGCCCAGGGCAGTGATAAGAATGTCCGCTCGGGACTATTTGAGGATGAACGGGCTGTATGAGGGCTTATCCAGGGTTGCTGCTCTGGGCCCTTATGAGATGGTGCTGCAGTAGGCTCTCAGGGCAGGCATGTGCGGACGCCTCCCCCTCCCCCAGGAGGCTGTGGCCTGGTAGATGTGGGTGTCTACCAGGGCTCGCAGGGCTTACCACACTGTGTTCCAGGCTTTGGCAGAACATGAGGACGAACTACCGGAGCACTTCAAGCCTTCCCAGCTCATCAAAGACCTTGCCAAAGAGATCAGGCTCAGTGAGGTAGGGCCTGTACCAATACCCCTAGCTCAGGGAGCTCCCAGTGCCTGGGACGGCTCTTGCCCACCATGCCCTGTGTCAGGGTCTCATGGCATGGGACACATGTGAACGGGTGTGTGTCTGACACCATGCACTGCAGGTGAGGAGAGAAAGGCTGACTTCTCCCCTCTCCACCAGAATGCCTCCAAAGCTGTCCGACCGGAAGTGAATGCTGTGGTGTCTTCAGATGAGGTCTGTGATGTAGACAGAGGGAAGGAAGAACCCCCATCTCCTGTGGAGACCACCCCATCTCAGTCCCTCATGGAAAAAGGGTCTAAAAAAAAGACTTCTAAAACTGTGAAGATGCCCAAGCCATCCAAAATCCCCAAGCCTTCAAAGCTCCCCAAGCCCTCAAAGCCCCCCAAGGCACTAAGGAATGATAGTGTCAAGAAGAAAGGGAAGAGGTGCAAGGAAACAGGCTCTCCCACCATCCCCAACTTGGATCTGCTCGAGGCCCACACGAAGGAGGCTTTGACCAAGATTGAAACACCCAAGAAGGGCAAGGTGGGTATCAGGTCCGGCTTCCAGATCATCCTGTCAGACAGCACAGGCAGCTGGGTGGGACCCCCTGGAGTACAAGTGGTGGGACGAGGGCCCTCAGAAGAACCATTGGGGGGTGCAGTGGACCCTACAAAGGCACTGTCGATGCCCAGCCCAGGGCAGTCTGTTTCTGGCTGCAGTGGGCATATTGCTTTCTGTTTCTCAAGCCAAAGAGGACGAATGACAGGTGCATGCGTGTGCATGGACGCTGGCCAGCCTGTTTGCTCTGCCTAGTTAGAGCCACACCCCTGAGTCCACCTTTGTGTCATGGCTGCTCTGTTCTCTAGGCTGCAAAGAGTGTCTTAAGTGTGCCCAACAAGGATCTGGCTAATAAGCAAAATGATGTGGACAGATTGGAAATCCGAGAGCAGACCAAGAGCAAGTCAGAGGCCAAGTGGAAATACAAGGTGATGTGTGTGTTCAAGTGTATGTGCATACATTTGTACATGAGTGCATACATGCAGGTGCAGGCACACCCACAGGAAGGGGTGCATTTGTGAGGGAAGGCAAGTATGTGAGGGGTTGTATATGAATGTGTGTGAGAGATGTGTGCCTGTGAAGTCAACTGTGTGAGTGAGTGTGCATGAATGTCATATGCACATGTGAGGCGGGTCTGTGGGTCAGGGAAGGTGTGTGTGACGTGGGGGTGGGAGGCCTATGGATCCCCTGCAGACCTCCCATCTTCTGGTATGACCTACTGTGGGTTTGGCGTGAGCTCATCAGTGATTGGATGTTGATTTTTCCGCTTCTGCTAAGTTGTTGGCAGCTTTCTTTAAACCTCTGCCTCCCTTGCTGGGCTTTAGGGGCTAGTGTAGGCACCAAGTCAGGGGAGGTGTTTGTATACAGGCCCCTCATGGGAACATTTCTCAGGGGTGTTCTGGCAGGGTGGCCTGACCCATTGCCTCTGCCCCTGGGCTGCATGTCTCCTGGTTCTTCTCTGAGCCCCAGCCTGCTTCTGTGTGGCGCTCAGTGATGTCTCTGGTTTTACTTTTCAGAACAGCAAACCAGACTCCTTGCTAAAAATGGAGGAAGAGCAAAAACTGGAGAAATCTCCTCTGTCAGGAAACAAGGACAATAAATTTTCATTTTCCTTCTCTAACAAGAAACTCCTGGGGTACGTAAATGCATGTACAAGGAAAGGCATTTCCCATGCATATCACACATACACTCCACAGATACACATTTCTCTCACACACATACCACCCCATACATACACACCATGATGTGTACATGTCACACACACCACTCATCCACATGGACTCCACATAAACCCATGCACAGATCACATGCACACCTGCACGCACTCACATTCATACACACCTATACCACACACACCTACCACTATACATGTACATGCCATGCACATATCACGCACACACACACATACATTAAAGCTTTACACCATGCACACACACCTCTGCATACCATGCACATATCACATGTAGCACTTGCGCACCACGTACACATCACACCTGTGCACATACATCCCCCACATGCATACTGAGTTCGTCTCACACATAAACACCTTCCCATTACTCACACGCACACCACACGTACATACTGTGCACACACTCACACACGTTCCTGTCCCAGCTGCCAATCTGGACACTGATGTCAGGCTGACACAGCCCTGCTCTCAGAGTGCATGTGGTCGGGGGGATGTGGGAGTGTAAACACAGACACCCTGTGGGGACTCTGGAAGATGCAGTGTGGTACAGCTGCGGCTGGCAGGGACCAGGGACTGGGTCCTGTGGTGAGTGGGGATGGTTGCTGTGCTGACCCAGTGCTCTCACAAGTTTACATAAGGTGACAACAGTGATGGGCACCAGGGAGGAATGTGTCCTCAGGTCTGGAACTCTGTGCGCAGGGCAAGGACTGTTTGAGTGTCAGGAAGGGGTTCCTGGAGGATGTGGTGAAACACTGAAACGTGGAAGGTGTGGGGTCAGTTGGCAGGGGTTAGCACACAGGGAACAGGCCTGGGTGAGGAAAGGTCCAGCTTGAGAGCTATGGCAGAGCTGGAGAGGTCAGCGGTCTTGGGATGTGAGAGGCTAGAAGGGCTGCTGAGGACTTGTGGGACTGAGCAGCTGCAGAATGAGCCTGCGTCTGTTGACACAGACAATGGCACCACCAGACAGGAGGTGTGCAGGCCTGGCTGGTGCTCTGCATGCTGGAGGGTGTGGAGGCAAGGCATGGCATGAGGCCGGGGTTAGACACATCATGGGGGCGGGGGGTGGGGTCCTCAGTGTCCTTACCTCTAAGTGGAAAAAGTACTTGTGTTCATGACGTGCTCCTGCCTGCCCAAGCAGATGGCAGAGAGGTGCAAGTGGTCTGCCTGGCCCCTACACCCTGTTGCTGCTGACAGCACAGCCTTGAACCTTTTGCTGGATTTCTCTGCGTCTTCGTTTCTGGGTCCTAGGGAGTCTTTCAGTTGCTCCATACTGTGCTGTAGATTCCAGGAGAGAGAGGAGAGGAGCGTACATACAACAGTCTAACAGTACACACATGCATGTGTGCCTTCTCTTTGAGAGCTTTGGAGGTAGCTCAACCCTCCCCCTTTTCAGACTGTGGGCCACATTTCTACTTGTTCAGAACCAAACCCTTTTGAAATCCTAGACTGCTCTGCAAGGCCTGCCATCCTACTGAAAATCCTTCCCTCTGCTCCATTGTAAGAGAAGCCAGTGCCAGGCAGGGTTGCTCATGGCTGGAACAAGCACAGGACAGGAGGAAGGAGTGTCCATACTGTGACCCTGGATTTGTTTTTCCAAATAACTTCTTAGAAAAGCATGTTGGTATTGTTTCTGTTGATTCTGCTGTCAGCACATAACACGACTCACAGTACCTCACAGGGACTGGGACAGCTGGACAGACTCTCACTTAGGCTCATAGACAGCACAGGTAGTCTTTGTCAGCCTTGGGTCTGTCTTCACCTTGGGCCACATCACTGGGGAGGGTGTCTGGGCACCCATGAGCCAGCTGTATTCCAGGCTGATCCCTGCCTACCTTTGCTGCCATAGCTCCAAGGGCCTCAAGCCACAGACGAGCCCAGGAGTGTTTGGGGCCCTGCAGAACTTCAAGGAAGACAAACCCAAACCCGTACGCGATGAATATGAGTATGTATCAGATGACGGAGAGCTCAAGATTGATGAGTTCCCCATCAGGAGGAAAAGGAACACTTCTAAGAGGGACTTATCTTGTGAGTAGTGTGTCCAGCCCCTTGGGGAACTGGGTCAGGTGTGGCTGCTGGGCTCCTAGAACATCCTTCATTCTCCTAAGCAGTGTCACTAGGTTTCTGTCTGCTCTTGTTTTAGTTTTACTGGATAAGAAAGAGATGTTCCATGTACCCATCAAGAAGCCAAAGCTCGACTCAGTGTTTTACAAGGTGGGTCACTGTCTACAGGAATGTGCAGCTCAGTTGTGCAGCAGACCCTCTGGGCACCCACTCCAAGCCTTTTCTCCCTGACCCAGTGGTCTCTGATAGGGTGTTCTGTGTAAAACACACGCCATGTAGGAAGGGAGGGAGTCTTCGTTTCTGCCTTATACTTTTCTTTGGGGGTAGCCTGTAGCGGGGTAGGCTGTAGCAGTCAGTTCTGGATTTACGGTAGACAACCCCTGTTGCCCTGTGTGTCTCCTTGGATTTCCGCTGCCACCATTTTGGGTGTGCAGTAATGGGTGGGCATGCCCAGGGCAGTGTGGCAGGTCTGCAGACTGTCCTTGAGTTTGCTAAGAGGCCAGTCCACAGGTAGTACAGCAAGGTCTGCAATGCTAGAAGCAAATGCAGCAAGAAATCCTACCCACAGGATGAGAGCTAGAGAGAAAGCAAGTGTCAGGCATGTTGGGTAGGTGACGTTTAACAGCTTCCACCCTGAGATTTGGTGACTACTTTGTATTTCTGCCCTAAGAAGACCAAGGCAAAGATTGCTGTTTCTTGGACAGGGAGTTCTGGAAGGGAGGTCCAGCTCTGCAGGTTGGAGGTGAGGGTTGGGGGTGGGGGATGATATTATTTAGAATAGGGGATTGTCAGATGAGGGTTCTCAGAGCTTGGGGCTCCCTGGGGGCCTTCACAGATAACCCTGCCCCCTCCTCATTCACCATACCAACATCTGTTGGTCTGTTTTAAATACTGGGCCTCTGAGTCTCACGGTGCCTGTGATGCTGAACAAGTGTCCATGGAGCGTCCATCTACAGAGGATTATGGGGAAGGCACCGGACCAGAAAGCTTTTTGCTCTTTTGTGCATGGGGCAGACTGTGCTGCAGGAACAGCAACAAAATAGTGTGAGGGTGTCCTTGAATGTACGAGCAGCACAAGTGTGACAGTGCGGTTCTCCCTGGCCCATGGCCTGGCCCAGTGTGCTTCCCCTACCCACCCCTACTGGACCCACTTGGGATGCATCAGCTTATCAGAATCCAGCAATGCCTCTTTAAAGACTCTATAATACCTTTTCCCCCTAAAGGACATAAGCAGTTCTCTCTGTCCCAAGCGTCTTCTCTGACCCTGTTTGTCCTTTGATGGTGGACTCCATAGCATAGTGACGACTCCTCCGACGAGGATTCTCTGCACATTGACACGGACACCAAGCCCAGCCGCAACGCAAAAGCCAGGAAGGAGAGCGGAAGCTCAGCAGCAGGCATCCTGGACCTACTGCAAGCCAGCGAGGAGGTTGGCGCGCTCGAATACAACCCCAACAGGTAGACCCCAAGTGGCCACCTGACTCCCTGGTTGGGTCAGCTCCCCACTTGCTTGCTGCCCTTCATGTAACGTTGTTGGGCCTGCCTGGCTTTCCCTTGACTGGGTTGGGTAGTGTGGTGTGAGGGAGCAGGCTGTGTTGGGAGCCTGAATAGGGGTAACTCTTGGGCATGCATGTGGGGAGATGGGCACACTGAAAGGCTGCTGGGCACTAGCTTCCAACAGATGGGCACAGATCTGAGGGTTCCTGCAGGTGGAGCATGGGGCTGGGCCTGCGGTATGGATATGTTGGCAGAGCAAACCTGCACTCCCAGCTGGGCTGAGAGTCAGGGTTTGGGAAGAGTGCCCCTGTCTTTACTCAAGAAGATCATGGCCAGACCAGGGAGAAGGACAGTTCTCATTCCTTTCTCACCTCATCCAGGGTGCTAGGAGCTGGCTGCAAGTGGAGACAAACAGTGGACACAGGGTTGGACCCCTCCTTAGCCATGTGGAGAGGCCCTTGGTGATAGGCCATAGAGACCATGCAGGCTGCTCAGGGAGGTTGGCAGTCAGAACTAGGCTCTGCAGAGGTGGTGCCAGGTGAATCAGGGCTGTGCCTGAGCACTGACCGTGGGGACTGTGGAACCTTCTGGAGGTGGGCCCATTGGACGATGGTGGAGCTTCTGGATGTGGGCACAAAGCAAGAGAACAGAGTCCCTTCCCTGCTCTGCTCCTGGGCTTGTATGGATGGAAGTGGGCAAAAGGTGCCGGCAGGACTGGGGTAACTTCTTGTGGGGTCATAAGTGGGGGGAGTCTGGGGAATTGCCACACCTGGGACAGGGCTGAGCAGAGTTTCCTGGCAGGTGTCTGCATTCTGAGGACTGCAGGGTCAGCCACCTCTGTCTCCTCACTTCCCAAGTGGCTTAAAAAAAAAACAAACAAACCCATTCTGGGCTAAGGCATCTGATTACAATGAAGTGTGTGGTGGGGCTCAGGGTCTTTAAGACCCTAAAGATTGACTTCTCTGCAGAGACCCTGCTCCCCAGCACACAGAACATGCCTTGTGAAAGTCCCTAATCATTTCCTTGACATTTTGAACCAAGCCAGACAATACCTGGAAATGCCCACTGTGACCCTCAAAGAACCTTTTATTTTAGTTCTGAGCACAAAGACTTGACAGCTTCCACTAGCAGATGTGGCTGCCAATCCAGTCTCTTAGCCAGGACTGGCAGCATGAGTGAGGGCTCAGGATCCTCCCTGCACCCCTGCTTTATGTGTCCACTTGAGCACACGTGGACTATCGTGTCCAGCTCTGACCTGGCCCTGGGGAGGACCACTGACGCTGGGCAGTGGGCCCAGAGGTTGGTCAGGAAAGCCGTGCTATGGCTGCTGCTTTTGCTTGGAGGCCTGTGGTTCTGAGTATGAGTGGGGCCTCAGGGAGGCTGTGGGTGGGCGCCCAGGATGTGGATCTGCTCAGCCACAGGCCTGCCCAGAATCTGATCAGAGAGAAATGGATTAATCCCATTTGGGCTTTGCTCATTTCTCTCGTGATGGTCTCTTGGTTAAATTCTCTCTAAATCACAGGCTTTTAAATTTTGTTTTAAGCAGTGGGTTGATTTTTTTTTCTAGTGGAAACCTTAGGATTTCCACATGTGTATAAGACCCATAGTAGGAGGGGACATGCTGATAGGGAGTGGTGGGGCCTCCCTAGCAGCACCCCCTGTAGTGCTCATGGCAGCAGCAGATTCCCACTGCCTAGGGGTCATGGGGGTCAGGCCCTGGGGATGGGACACCAGCAGGGAGGGTCTCTGGGAGGAGGTGTTGCTTGAGCTGACATGGGAGGGACAATGGAGTTGGGAGGCTCCCAAGCCAGACCATTGTGCTGGGGGTAGTCATGCTGAGGTGGTCAAGCTGTCACCAGCCTACTGCTCTCTGAGACCTCTGTGTGGTGAGTGTTGGCTCCTTCCTCAGTGCACCATGATGCAGGGGGCCAGCAAAGGCAGGCTCCAGTGGCTTATCTGGCCAGCTCTCCCCTCCTGTTCTACCTACCAGACCTCCACACTGCCATGTGTGGGGTGGGGAGGTGGCAGTGCTCAGGGATGGTACAGAGCCAATAAGCAGGCCTGCTCTCAACCAGGGTTACAGTGAGGAGGTAGATTAAGAGCCTGATTGAAAAGAGCATCTGCAAATCCAATTACTGTATTTCCTTTCATAAATTAGTACTTTGCATGCAGCATTCCATTCACAGACGGCCATAGTGTGCTTGCTTGTCATTTAGTAAAATGTGACTTGAAGCTTTTGCAATGCTTCGAGGTTCTGCCGAGGGGGTGGCACGTCTCCCACTGGCTCTCAACAAGGTCTGCGTGTGTCTTAGAATGGAGCCCCTTAGGACGGAGGTACACCACATACAATCGAGTCTGACAGGGAGGGGATGTTGCCTTCTTCCTCAGTCCTATCTGTCCATCATTCTCAGACGGGGCTATTCCTGTTACTGGGCCTCCTCCTTGAAGCCAAAGGTGGGGGGCAGGGTACCATTGCTCTAGGAACAACTACATGGTAGCTGACACCTCACTTGACTTGTTCTGAGCCCTCTGTGTGGCTCAGCCCCTGGAGGGGCACTCTGGACATACCTGGGGTCCCAGTGAGGTCCGTGGAAGACAGAGGGACCAGGGCCAGGTGGGTCAAAGGCCCTGGGATAATGGGAAACTGGGGAGCGAGCTGACCATGTGGCCCTTGGAAGCCAGGGAGGGCAAGGAGACCCAAGTTTCTGTACATGAGGAGGTGCTCTGGCTTTGCAGCTTATTCTCAGTGTACAAGGCTCCAGGACACCCATAATGAGAAATATGAAGCTTCCAGTTTGCACCTCCCAGAGCAGCTCTGCAGACACTGAGCATGTCCTCCATACTCACTACCCCCACCCCACAGCCTCCCCGCCATCTCACACCTCCCAGAGCAGCTCTGCAGACGCTACTCACTGCCCATTACCTCCCCCCACCCCCACCGCCTCCCAGCTATCAGGAGGCCAGTTAGCTTTTGATGGTCCATTTGCACTGTTGCAAGGATTCACTAGTTGGAAAAACAGCTGAGGAACATGAGGATAAAAACGTTAATTTTTCCGATATGGTTTGCTTAGGGTTTACTGCTAGGGGGAAGAAGCAGATTTGGGATGCTAATTAGAGAATTGAAGTCTCACTTCCCCTGCAGACTGGTTAACCTGTGGACATTGGCCTCTCTCCGAGATTCTGCCTGACCTGCTGCAGCTGAGGGAGCTCTGTATTGGGCAAGTCACATGGTCCAGGCAGGGGCTTACCCACCCCAGATCATGGATCCTTATGGCATCCTGGCCTCCACCCTCAGGCTCTGGCCTCTGAGGGCTTCCCTAGTGGTTTCAGGAGCTACAACCCACTTCATCCGGTCGTAAAGGTTATGTGTGTCAGCAGCTATTTTGGAGAGGGAAGGGATGCTGGACCACCTGGGAATGCTTTGTCTGGAGGAGGATGCTTCCACTCTGGGACTGGGCGGGTCTGTCCCCCGCTCAGAGAAACCACCCACCCACCCCCTGCCGTGGGGTTGATTCTGACACTGCTAACAACTGTCAAAATGCCCCATGGCAAGTGCAGAGCTATCACCTGTGCTGGGGCAGGGTGGACTGTGGGCCCTCCAGAGAGGACTGTGTGCAGAGCAGTCAGCACCTTTTTAAAGTTTTTATTGCGAATTGAGTGATAGTTTACATGAGAGAACATCAGTTTTACACTCATCGTTTCATTGCAATGATTACAATCTACAGTCTCCTCCGTGCATCATTTATTTGCTTCCATTCCCTCTGGTTTGTTTGTTTGTTGGGGGGTGGGGGGTGGCAGTGTAGTATACACAAAAAGTCAGGAATATATAATAATTTAAACAACCAAAGGGCACATTCTGCAAGCCCCCTCCTGGCTGCCAGCACTCAGTCTTTCTCTTTCCATAGTCTAGAGTCCTCAGCTGCTCTATTTCTCCATGTCATCATCTTTGCCTCCATCTGTGGTGTCCCTGCTTCTCTGGATAGGGTCCTACATTCCGCTTGTGCTCTTCTCCCATGATGGCTGTAGGGTCCTCTCTTCCTGGACTGTACGATTAACTACTTCCCCCTCTTTGTTATAAAGCTTCTACTTTTACAGTTGTGACAGTTGCAATTAGTCATGGTAACAATTACTATTGAATCATAAGAATCTTATTCCCATCTCTTTTCATTAGACCCATCTAGACAAGATGAAAACTATTCAGTAGGGACTCTTACTTATCCCCATACACTCCTAAACTACACTCCCTCTTGAAAGCTTATAAGCCAAACACTTTGTGCCTTTATTGCCCCCTCATTTTAGGTAGCCAGTGTCTAAGTTGCCTGTCCCTTTCAACCCTGTATACAGAGGGGATAGGATTGATACTTGATGTGAAGACTCCTTCCCTCTCAGTTGGTATTTTGAGCTACTACATCCATAAGTATAAGTCCAGTTCATCAAATTGTAGCAATTTACACTTGTTTCCTTTGTCAAAAAAAAAAAAATTTTTTTTTTTTTTCTCTTCCTCTAGTTGAGTTCTGATCATCAAGCCATCGAGGCTAGGTCAAGTGGATACAGTCTGCAAGTTTGGGCATTCCTAAGACATTTTCCAGGGAGATTTGATGTAGTTTTTACATAGTTTTCTGGCTTTGGGACCACTGTGCTGCTTCACGTATAAGCATAGTGTGATAAGTAGAGCTGGGAACAGCTGTGAGGCCAGCTCTTTCCATAGGCTCTGGTGGAGTCCTTCCAAAGTGAGTTGGACCCTCAGAGCAAAAGGGCTGCTCCACAGCTAAGGTGGCTTTTTCCCCTTCTTGTTTTGGTGCCCTGGTTTAGATGGTACTGTGGTTTAGGCATTGGGCTACTAACCAAAAAATTGATCTTTTAAACATACCAGCTACTCCAAGGGAGAAAAATGAGGCTTTCTACTCCCATAAAGATTTATAGTCTCAGAAACCCTACATAGACTCACTATGGGTTGTAATCAATTTGATGGCTATAGGTGTGCTTCAGTGGGTCCTGAGACATGCAGGACTCCCCAACCTCTGGATTTCCACTCACACTACCCCTGGTCTACCCAGCCTTAGACTGCACTTCTTTCATTTTCAAGCAGGTGGCTTGAAAATGGTCACCCATTGTGTTCCTGGTTAGAGTCACTGCTTGTGATACCTGCAGGGAACGTGGCAGAGACCCACATCAGGCCTGGTGAGAATAGGAAGGGCAGACCTCATGTGCCCAGATTTCCAAGAACTCCCTGGCCTCTTCCTGTGGACTTACGAAATATGTTTTGTCTCGCTGACTGGAGCGGGATAGAAATGTATGAACTCTTAACAAATACATGGTAACAGGTAGACACACACAGGCAAAGTCGTAAGACTGACAGGGGCTGTTGATGAAGAGGCCCTGTCTCTAATAACTGGGGAGGGGAAGAAGGGGTGAGCAGGGGACAGCCATGCCCCAAGCCTGGGCCCATATTCTGGCTGAGCTGTGCTGTTCCCAAGGTTAGGTGGGACTTCAGGCCTTAGGCAGGAGTGAGATTGGAACAAGACTGCAGACTTCTATCTGGCTAGTCTGAGCTGTCTACTGGTGCATGTCTGCCTTGCAAGGAAATGTGTTGATTAGAGCACTGGGTATCTGGCCCAGACCATGAGGCAGAGGGCAGAGGCTTCATGGAGACCTCTGCCAGCAGGACTAGGAGATGGCAGGAGCCCTGGAGGGGTTGGAGAGTGGTAGCAGGTGGGCCCCTGGGAGGGAGGGCACTCAGGTAGAGCTCATTTACAGATTTAAGGCAGGAGACACTTACTATGATCCTGTGCTGAGTGGCAGGCGTATGGGATGCCAGGGTGAACACAGATTTCCCTCCCTCTACTGCACTCTCCTTCTTTCCTTACCTCCCTTCCCCTCCCCTTTTTCTTCCTCTTTCTCTGTCTTCCTCTGTGTTCTCTTCTTGTGCCCCTTTCCATCCTAGACCCTTCCCCCATACCTGTCGCTAACCCAGTGCGATGGGGAGCTGATGCCTGTCTCTGTCCCCAGCCAGCCCCCGGCCTCGCCCAGCACACAGGAAGCCATCCAGGGCATGCTGTCCATGGCCAACCTGCAGGCCTCCGACTCCTGCCTTCAGACAACCTGGAGCTCTGGCCAGACCAAGGGAAACTCCTTGGCAGCCCACAGTGCCCGGAAGAACGGAGGTGGCGGCAAAAGTGCTGGGAAGCGACTCCTGAAGAGGGCCACCCAGAACAGCATGGACCTGGACGAGTACGAGGAGCAGGACCACCTGGACGCCTGCTTCAAGGACTCAGACTATGGTGAGAGCTGCCGGTGCCCACCTGCATGCTTGTCTGCCTCTGCCGCTTTCTTCACACAGGAGCCCATGTGGGCCAGAGCTCACACTGAGAATGAAGACAGCAGGCATTCTGGGGTGCAGCGCTGCTTGTTTTTTCCCCATAACTATGCAATTCACCCTCTATAGGTATACAGGGGATTTTAAGTGTAATCGGGAGGTACACAGCCTTCACCTCTATCTCTGATTCCTAAACACTTTTGTCTCCTCAAATGGAACTCCTATACTCATTATTAGCAGTCACTCCCATTGCCTTTTCCCCAAGTCCCTGATACTCACCAACCTGTGTTCTGTCTCAGTGTATTTGCGTACTTTGGAAACTTCATGTCAGTAGAATCCTATCATAATACCATATTTATCCTTTCATGACAGGTGTATTTCACTCATTTTCAAGGTTCATCTATGCCATGGCATGTATTAGCACTTCATGATTTTGTTTTAAACTTTTTGTTGTGAATCGAGTGAGTTTACAGAGTAGATCATCAGTTTCACATTCAATAAATCATACACTTTGTTTCATCTCAGTGATTGTAGTCCCCTCCATACAAGAGTAGTTACCCCGCTTCCTCCCTGTGGTTCCCGTTTCCATTCCACTCTCCTTCCCATCCTTCTCAACTTTGTTCTTAGGTAAATGCTGCCCCTTTGAATTTTGAATGGTTGACTGTTCCATCCTTCATAGTGACCGTACCTTATTAGTATTGTTGTCTCTCCTCTATCCCTTCCTACTGCTTTGGCTGAAAGTTGGGCCACAAAGGTGAATTCTTTTCTAAACCTAAAGAGTGCTCAAGGGCTATAGTCTCAGGTTCCTGTAGTCTCGTTTTGACTTGTAAGCCTGTTTTGTTTTTTAAATAATTTTGATTTTGTTCCACATATTCTGCTGTTTTATCTGGGACCTTCTAGTGTGATCCCTTTCAGAGCAGTTGGTGGTGGTTGCTGAGCACCGTCTAACTTCATGACTCTTAATCACTGAATAATATTCCATTGTATGGGTGGACTGTACTGTGTCTGCCCAATCTTCCTTTGGTACATATTTGGATTCTTCCAATTTTAGACTATTGTGGATAATGCTGTGAGCATTTGTGTGTAGTGGAATTGTTGGGCCACAAGTATTTAGCTCTTTGAGGAGCTGTACATGGATTTCCACAAACACTTGCAGGAGCACTTCTGAGACCCTTCTGTCTGTCCAGCATGAATGGATAGATGGAGAAATTGAGGCTCAGAGTGACCAGCCTCTGAGGTTAGGCAGTGAGTTAATAACTAGGGCAGTCTACAGGCTCTACTGTGGGCACAGTGCCTTACTTCACCCCAGAGCCTCTTCCGACTGAGCAGTGTTGGGCTCAGGCCAAAGCTCTGAAGGGCCTGCTCCATCGGCTACATTGAGAGGCTCTCTAAACACAGTGCCGTTCGCCAGCCCTTGGAGCAGGGAGTTGTCTGCTCCACACCTGGCCCACTGCCCAGGGATGTTCTGGCCCCCCAGGACCGGCCCACTATCCCATTCCTCTTAGTGCATGTGAGTACTCAGGCAGGACCCTCCTGATGTGTGTTGGGGGGTTGATGGGTGGTGACTGAGAGTTCTGTGTTTGTGCTACTGTGCCTGGGGCCCCTCTGTGTGATCCGGGCTGGCTGCCCACATCTGGAGGGCAGACTTGGACTGAGCATAGGGCCAGGCCTTTCAGTGTGACAAGTGCAGTTACAGTGTAGGAGGACCCTTGGGGTGGCATGCTGCTTCTTACTAGCCTCCTTAGAATCCCAAAAAGCCTCTTGAGATTTTGACCTTGGCAGTTCATAGAGTTTCAACATCTACATTCTGTAGTACTAGTGAGGGTATCAGGCCTGCAGGAGTACCCTGGTGAGTCAGGCAGAAAGGTACCATGGAGTGGGGGTGCATATTGGGACAGGTCCTTGTGGTGGTGGGTCTGCCGTGTGGAGCATTTCCTGCTGTAGCTCTGCAAGGCCGGTCTCCAAGGACTGTGAGCACTCGCCCTGATAGGACCTGCCCCTGCTGGTCTCCCCACTCTCTGCTGCAGCTGCACAGTGAAACCTTCAGGCTGCTGACTTGGAAAGGAGCATGCCCAGTAGCCCAACACCTGTGTCCAGCCTGGGAGCAGGAGCCCAGAGGGCCTGGGGCCCTAATAGAGATGTGGGGTGAGAGGAGGCCATGACACATGTGTCATCATGCATATCACCAGGCACCAACCCTTCTCAGGGACTTCATGCCACTCACTGGACTTTTGCAACACAATGAGGGCTATGGGGCAGGCCAGCCTCAGCCTCCTTACCCCTCTGTGTTGCTCTGAAGTGGAGCCTCTAAGCTGGGTCCTCAGCCTTTCCTTACTGACTCAGTTCCCTGGGTCTAACTGGGTGGCCAGAAGCCATGGTGACTCGGCCCACAGTGTCTTTAGCTTCCTCTAGTGGGAGGAAGAAGGGCAATCTGTCAAGGATAGGACCTTGAGAGGGCAGCAGCATGGCTAGAATGGGCAGGATGATTGCTGGCCAGATAGGTCCAGGAGCCTTGGATGTGGCTGGTACTTATGGGACTGGATGAAGCCTAAAGGGATCTCAGACCAGCGTGCCAAGGCGTCGTTGTCCCAATGCCACCAGGCAGACTGGTAGATGCAGGCTGTAGAGGTGGGAGGCCTCTTGTCTGGAAAGTCCCTGTCTCCCTCTGAGCCTCATTGCCCCCCTGGGGCCCCTGGGAGGGGGTGCCCCTTGTCCATTCCCCTTCTGTTGGGGATGCTCTTGGACACACTTGACACTGAGTGGGGCCTCTCTGTCCCTTTACTCCCTTAGTTTATCCCTCCCTGGAGTCGGACGAAGACAACCCTGTCTTCAAGTCCCGGTCGAAGAAAAGGAAAGGCTCAGACGACGCTCCCTACAGCCCCACAGGTACTGTTGCCCTCAGCCTTTAAAGTAGGTCAGTGGACCCTGAGAGAAAGGGGGAGGCATGTGACCCTGGAGCTGTGCTCCGCTGCCCTCTGAGGACGTGTGCATAGGCTGTGCTGCCCCCCCCCACATCCCACACCGTAAGCTGGCATGCCCACCCTGGACCCAGAGTTGCTGAAATGCTGCTCTTTTCCACCAGTCCTTGTGGAGCACTCCTGTCCCCCACAGTGCCTCTCTGAGGATGGGGCAGTGTCCCCTCCCTAGTTTCTCTCTTACTGTTCCTTGGTGGTTGTGGGGTACCCAGAGTAGGTGGGCAGGTGACATGTAAGGAGGAACCTCAGTCCGCATGACCCCCCACGCAGCTGCACCTCACCCCTGATGATGCTGTGAGGGTACGGGCCTCCAACGATTTTATTTTCCTGCCTCAGGTTTGCCGTTTAAGTACCCTGTTGTGTGAGTGGTTTAAACTCTGGGCTTACTCAGAGTTCCACCTCAGAAAGGGTGGACAGGCCGTGAGGCATGGCCCGAGGTGGCTGACTCTTTTCTCCTTGCAGCAAGGGTAGGCCCGTCAGTGCCACGGCAGGACAGACCTGTGCGTGAGGGGACCAGAGTGGCCTCCATTGAGACTGGACTGGCAGCTGCTGCAGCCAAGCTCTCCCAGCAGGTAAGGAGGGCAGGGCTCCCGATCAGCTCTGTGCACAGGCCCCAGAGGTCACGGGCTTGGGGACATCTCACTAACACTAGCCCCGTGAGAAGAGGATGGTTCAGAAGCCAGGCACAGCTAGGCTCTGGAAAGCACCTTTTGGCAGAGACCCATCTGCTACTGGGGGTATGTGGTCTTCTTGGACCAGGGACGAGTGGTCATCTTGGGCCACCGTGAGTGGTGTGTGCCTGGTTCATCTGTAAGGGAGATAATAGAACAAAATAAGCATCCTCACACAGACATCACAGACATCCCCTTTGAGAGGTGCAGCAGCACAGAAAAGGTGAGCATGTCCTACACATCCACTCCTTAGCTGACGTCCATTGTGAGCACCCCTGCATCTTCCAATGATGGCAGAACATGCAGGTTTACCACTGTGTGACAAGACCTCAGTGTCCTGAGAGAGACTGAGGCACTGCTCCCTCAGTGCAGCCCCTGGGAAGGTTTGGACTGGTCTCTTCCCTCCCCAGAGCCCCTCGCTTGAGCTCCCCGGTGGTGGTGTTTGGGTTGAAGCTCAGACAGGGGCTAAATGCTCCTTTGATGATTGAGAATGCACTGGTCACAGATCTGCTTTGTTCAAAGGAGGAACAGAAAAGCAGGAAGAAAAAGAGCACCAAAAAGAAGCTGACTCCAACTACCATCTCCCCCTCCCCGTCCTCCGCCACCCCCGCCAGCACTGCCTCCTCGGCCTCTACCACCTCGGCCTCCACCTCGGCTTCCACCTCCTCAGCCTCCACCTCGGCCTCCCTGGTCTCTACCACACCGGCCAGCACCAGCACGGCCAGCAGCCAGGCCTCTCAGGAGAGCAGCTCACCTGAGCCCCTGCCAGAGGTGCCCAGCAGCAGCCTGGCAGACCATGAGTACACAGTGGGTGTGGGCACCTTTGCCGGGGCTCCAGCTGGCCGTGCCTCCCAGCCCATGGCCCCAGGGGTCTTCCTTACGCAGAGACGGTCCTCTGCCTCATCCCCCAATAACACCGCTGCCAAAGGTGCGTGCCCACAGGGTACAGATGGGGTCCTGTTTGTGCCATTCACAGTGACAGGTGTCTTGCTAGAGCTGTAGAGACACAGGCCCTGACTGGGCTGGGAGCTGGGAAGGGGACTTTCTGAGTGTTGTGGAGTTCGGTCCAGCTCTTCAGAACCCCATCTTCACTGTGAGGCCTGGCTGTAGGTGTGTGGGAGGGAGGTCTGTCAGGGATGGGGCTTGGAGTGGGTGAAGCTGTGTGGAAAGGAAAGTAGGGCCCCAGGGAATGTGGCTACTCTTGTTGAGCTGGCCAGGTCCTGCCACTGCACCTGGGTGTGACTGTGTGTAGTGCTGCTGTGTTGCCAGCAGGTGGGGCAAGAACTTCATATCACAAGGATGATGCTGCCCTGGAGCCAGACCCCTTTCCCCTGCCATGGCCCAGGGGCCATCTGTGCTTTTATACATTGTCAGCCTGGCCCCAACACTATTGCCTGATTCTGGCCCAGCCTATGAGCTGGATGATTTGTTAGTGGTGTGTGATTTCTGAGGCAGACCGGGAGGGGTCTCAGAGAGGGACTCACAGCCTATTTGATGAGGGGGTGGGTAAGGTTCTAGAAGGGATTGTAAGCACCCAGAGTAGCCCCATTCACCTTGGGCAGCTAGATGTCTCTCTAGCCATCTATTCATCTTTCTTTATGTGTCTCTTCTTCCACCCTGTTAGGTAAACGTACAAAAAAAGGCATGGCCACCGCCAAGCAAAGGCTCGGGAAAATTTTGAAAATTCATCGGAACGGAAAACTGCTCCTTTAAAGTTTGGAAAGCCAGGATTCTTCTGCTCCGCTCAGGACCCCTGGAGCACACCACTAAAGCATCCACCCCCCTAGGACTGTGGCCTCTCCACTTCATCCCAGGGAGGGTCTTGCTTATTCCTGGCCACCATTCCCCACACACAAGTGTTCGTACCTGGAGCAGGAGGAATGTGCAGAGCACGGCCATCCCACATTTTGAATAGAGATGTCCTATCTCCAGTTGCTTAGAGTGACCAGCTCCCCAAAAGATGTCTGTTAGTTTGAAGACTGTCCGAGTTCAGGACAGCCTCTGGGCACCCCTTAAGTGTGGGTGTGATTGCAAGGCTTCTGCAGTCGCTGGGGAGCATGAGTCCTTCGAGGAAGGATATGTGAGCCAAAGCTCACCAGGCCCAAAGTCTGAGCTGGTCACAGTCTGGTAGCCTTCAGAGGCTTAAAAAAGGCAAAGGGCATCAGAGAGAGAGAGAGGGGGCAGGGGGGCATGTGGGTGTGCTCCTCTTCTCTTCCCCAGTAATTCTCAGACAAGTCCAGAGAGTGTTAGGCCCGATAAGAAGTGAGGCCTCTACATCCTCCTAGCAGAGTGGTGGCAGGAGGGATGGTGGGGCTGTGCTCTGAATGCATAGAGCATTTCTCGGGGAAAGCACAAGGACACCAGGACCAGCAGCAGGGTCGGGAGTTAGCGGACAGGAGCCGCTGTGGGGGCCCTGGGAAGGGTGCAGGCTCAGCCATGTCTCGGGGTCCGGGGGGCCCAGGCTAAGCCACATGGTAGGGCCATCCCAGCCTGGTGGCCCACACTCCCGGAGAAGCACTTCTCAGTCATGGCACCCTGACCCTGGGCCTGGCATGGCCAGAACGGCAGATGGAGGGGCTGAGGACAAATGGACTAGACACTGCTCTGTCTGCGTGCTAGCACCTGGTGTCCAGTGCATGGATCGTACCTGAAAGGTGTGTCCGCCCATCGGCACAGAGAGGCTGGATTTGTTTCTCAGGCAATCCTGGACTTTAATTTTAGATGTATTTCCTGAAGCATATTTTTCATAGAATGTAGCGTGTAAATAGCTTTTTAAAAAACTTCTTTTTTATAAGAGTAAAAGTATCTTTAGAAATTTCTTTCTATAGAGTCCTTCATTAACATTTATACGAGTTTTTTGCCGAGTATTATAAAACAGTTGGGTTCCAATGCTTTTCTTTTCCTCCTTTCTTTTTCTTAGTTTTCCTTTTCCTCTTAGGAACTAAGGTATTGCCTGAAAAACAAGTGATGTCTCTGCAGCCTTATCCTCTGTCTCCACACAAGCAAATCATACACAAAAGATGTATTGCAGACACATTTTGAAGCTACGTCTTCAACTTTAATACCAGCTGTTTGTTTTCCTTCTTGTATGATGAGGGGGTTGGGGATACAGTTATTTTACTAGCACCTTGTGAAGTGTTTCTGTGTTTTGTGATGATGTAATTTATTAATGTTTGTAGCTTTTTATATTTGTACATTTCTTAAAAGCTTTGTTTATATACCCATTACCCGGATGTTACATCCACAACAAGAAACAGCTTCGTGGAGGCCTTATTAACTCCCATTTGTCCTGTATGAGGGACATGGTCCCGAGAGCCAGGAGGCTGGGGGAGGAGTAGTCTCATGGGGTCCTAGACTTACTCAGAACTGGTGTTTTTAAAAGTTTCTTTGTCCCTGTCCTTGTTGAACATTTATATAACTTAACCTGGGCATCAAGCTGTTCTCTTTTTTTATTTTATTATTATTATTATTTTGGCAACATGTACATTTCTAACAAAGTTTATTGTGGCTGTTAAAGTGTTTTATTTCCCAATTCATATTACTCTTGTATCGAGTCCATGAGGTCTAAGACAACTTAGATCAAAGTTTTAAAAAAGTAAAAATATTTCAGGTTTTGTACAGAACCCTGTTTGTGTCATTATGTCATTCTCCCTGGTGGTGAGAGTGGCCAGGTCCCTCTAACAGAGGTTGAGTGGACTGGTGGGCAGGTGGGTGTGAGTGCTGGGTGAACTTTGGACTTGTCTCCTGGGCCCGGGCCTCCATGCTCAATTAATGATCCCACACCCTAAAGCCAGAGCAGCCCTCTAGGCTGCAGGAAGGGATGGAGGCTCTTGGTGGGCCCTGTGAGGTGGGGACAGCCTTGGAGACCCTGGGCCTTCTGCACCCTTCATAAGTGTAGGTCTGGTCTAAGTTCAGTGGGCACACCTGTGTGCAGTCCAGGCAGAACCTGGCACAGAAGATTGGCAGCATACAGGAAGTGTACAGCAGACTGTTAAGGTCAACAGACAAAACCCTGGAGTCCCTGACAGAGGTCCTGGCTGACAGAAGGACCATGAGGCACACTAAAGGCAGGACTCGGAGACTGTCCATGGTGAGTGGGAACAAGATAGCAAAGACAACTAGGTAGCTACACTCAGGCTGCAGAGCTACAGTGAGGCTGAGAAATTGGCCCTGGAGGCAGGGATGGCAGGCAGGAAGGCTCCTTAAATTACCTCATGAGCTGAATGTGCCCCCCAAGGATATAACAGATAAGTGACAGGAGACTCAGGGCACCCTGTTTGTGAGTAGACATGGATGGACACCTTTACCCAGCAGGTGAGCAGACAGCCCAAGGGAAACTGAGCAGAGCATCGCTGAGCCCACCCTGGCACAGACTGTGAAACACACATCTGAGGAGCAGTGGTCATTTGTTGGGCAGCACAGAGCACGAGTGGACGAGTCCCTTCTCTCTCAGCATTGGTTACCTTGCTGTCCACTTGAATGCACAGGGGACACAGTCCTCCACCCAGGCCCGGGCCCAGGAGGGGTCCTTCCCGATGGGGCAGTCAGGCTAGTGGAGTGGAATGGGTTAGGGCTCTGTGCTCAGAAGGCTGCTTCCACCAGGGGGCATCCTGGGCATCTTTGACTTTGCTGGATCCCAGTAAGCTGTGGGTGGCTTTCCATGGTAGGCATTCACGACTCTGGACAGTTGTACCACACCTGCTCATATCCATCCAGAGTCTGCCCTGTGGCCCCCCTGTGGTCTTAACATCCTGTGCAGGGATGATGGCCTCAGAACCCCTCCTCCAAGCCAGGGCCCTAAGGTTCCTACCATGCTCAATTGGTTAGGCCTCTTGGGCCCAGTGTCCTTGAGGTTGAGCTGTTTGGGGGGCCCTTAATGACACCCTCCCCACCCCTGTCAGAACTGAGACTTCAAGGGCTGTGGGAGAGGTGAGGCTTGACTGAGGAGGGCTTCCAGGCAGGGAGAGCCAGGAGGCTGCGTGTAAACACCGCAGTGAGCCAGCTGTGCTACCCTTTTCTATCTCCTGGTGAGGCAGTGACCTGGGCACTCAACTGGGGGTGTGTCTGCTCAGGCCCAGAACGGGAGTCCTTGAGCTTCTCACCCTTCTACTTTGGGTCATAGTTTCCACGTCTGTGACATGGGAGAAAGACTGGGCCTCAGAAACAGGTCTACAGACATGGCCTTCACCCAGAAGGTGAACAGACAGCCCTAGGCTCCCTGACAGCCAGGGTTCCATCCATCTTCAGAGCAGGCAGGGAGTTCACAGGGATGCTGTGGTCTGATTTGGCCTCTTTCTCCCCAAACCCCTGTACCTGGTTCACTTTTACATACTGTCCAGCAAGCATGGCCTTAGCTAGGACTCTTTATCTGGACTTCTACTTACCTGCTTATCTAAGCCACAGGGGGACAGCCTCCCCACCTCTGGGCCCTATCCTTAGTCTTCATTAGGCATTGCCAACCGACAGCACAAGCAGGCTGGGATGGACACTGTCACTGGCTTCTCTTGGGACTCAGAATTCAGACCCTAAACCAAGCCATGGCAACTTCGTATGGTGCAGATGGCATGACATAACACAGGCAGCCTGGAGGTTTCAGGGAAGACCCAGACCTGCACTTGCCCTCCCAGGCCCTGCCTAATCCAGCCTCCAGAGAGCCAAATACTCCAGAGACAGCCATCTCTCACCACCATTGTTCAGCCCTGCCCTGGCCCTTCCATGGTAATTGGTGAGTGCTGACCAATGGACTGTGAGGGTCTGGGTCATTCAGGAACTGGTGCCCCACCACCTAGCTCTCCCTTCCCTTGTGTGGCAGCCCTTGAGTAAGAAAGCCGCCCAAATGGGCTGCCTGACCAGTAGCAGACTAAGCAAACCATCTTTTGTCAAGCCTGAGATTCGGGAGCTGTTAGTTACTACAGCATACCCTGGCTTAGTCTAAGGTATACTTAAATGGTGCGGGGTGGCTCAGCATGTCCTGGCATAAATGAACACACTGCCCTATCAGCCACTTCTCCAAAGTCCAGTTGAACTCCAGAGTCAAGTCCTTATGTCTCTGTGCTGGAGCTAAACACCTTACCCGGAGCCTCCCACAGAGACTGACTACAACCCAAGAGGAAGTGGACATGTCATGAGACTGTCTCCCCTTGAGTCCCCTAACTTTCACAGCAGTGCCAGGGCTTAAGACCAGGCCTGGTCAGCTTGGAGACCACCCTGTCACCAACTCCCTTACACTAAAGGTGGGTAGTGGCAGAGATTGGCCCCATCCTACCCACACATCTCGGTGGCAAGGGCTGATTTTCATCTCTCTACCATAGAGTATGAACAAAGGCCTGGGAACAGACCAGAAGCCTGACCTTAGAAAGGTCGGAGGACAGGCCCTGAAAGGTGAAACTGGGGCTACTTCATGTTGGGGAGCATGGCCTCTCCTAGCACTCCCTCTGCCCCTTGCTCTATGCCGCTTCAGGCACATGTTCCCATCTCTCAATGTTAGGGATCTCAGAATCTCAGAATACCAATCTACATAGCACAGTTCCTCCTGTCTTGGTGCCTTTCTGCTGAAAGGTCCAATCTAGTCTCCGTGATTCCTGTGTCAGTAGGGCAGTTCCCAGAGTAGCCACCAGGGGGCAGACAAGAGCCAGGAACACCAAGTGCCTGTGGTCCCAGGGGCAGCTTGTGACTAAGGGCTGGAGTGAGGATCAGGGTGCACCACCCAGGGA